TGTTGCATTGTGGTAAACTGTGGTCAATGACATGAGACAAAGTATATGTGAACTGCCGTATGGAAAGTGAATTTGCTCTGTAAATCTTCACCCAAATAAAAATTAATTAATTAATTAAAATAAATAAATAAATAAAATAATGACAAGTGCTTTCAAAGGAATATTGTCCTGGTGTAGAAAGGATGAAGCAGAGCCATGTGTTCTGTTTTCAGGCAGATGATGACAAAGCGTGCTATGTATCCTTAAATTAAAAAAAGAAGTTCCAAACAGTATGGATAGCAGGTTATCAGCAATGGGAGGCAAAAGACAGGGTGATGAATATACATAAAAAGAAGTTCATAATTGCAGACTGTCTGGAAGAGTAAACACTGGAAGAGGGAGACAGTTACTTTTTCTAAAGTACCTTTTTTAAAAAAAATTATGTTGTTGTTGAGAATATACACAGCAAAACATACACCAATTCAAGTTTCTACATGTACGGCTCGGAGGCATTGATGACATTGTTCAAGTTGTGGGACCCTTCTCACCCTCCTTTTCTGAGCTGTTCTTCCCTCATTAACTTAAAACTCCTCTCCTCCAAGGTTCCTATCTAATCTTTCCAGTTGCTATTGTCACTTTGGTCCCATACAGATAGTTCTTAAAAGAGCACAATGCGCACAGCAAACATTCTTTACTAATTTAGCCAAACTACTGTTTGGTTTTAAGAAGACTTTAGAGAATAGTTTTGGTTAGTTTTAAAGACTATCTCAGGGTAGTAGTTTCAGGGGTTCATCTAGATCCCACAAATCCAGAAAGTCTGGAGTCTTTAAGAATTCAAAATTCTGTTCTACATTCCCTCCCTTTTGATCAGGATTCTTCAACAGAATTAAAGTATACTTTACATTGTTTCTTCCTTTCTTTTTTTTATAAACTATGCCCAAGGTTTACTTTTTCAACTGAAAGTAAAAAAAAAAAAAAAAGATTTTACAAAGAGGGTGCTAGCAGCTCATAGAGCAAGCTGAGCCATGGGCAGGGACTTTGACAACTTCACTCTCACCCTAAGCCCCATGAACAACTCTGCCCTCCAAGCCCCTCACGTTTCCTTCTCCTGCTACTCTCCCCCATATTACTCTGGTCCTGTCTGTGAGTATAAGCCAGGGCAGCCTCAGAAGGCCCCCTAAACAAAGCCCCCAGGCAGGGCTTTGCACCAAGGAGGGACCCAATGTGCATTCCTAGATACACCCACCCCTGGCTGGCTCAGTGAGTGCACCTCTTCCACTGCTCTGTGATGCCGGTCTGACCACACCATGCCACATCTGCAGGACCCTACCAGCTGCACCATGATATACTAAAGAGTGGTCGCTGGTGGCCAAGCACTGTGCTGGCATTACAAGTGTCACTTCACGTAATTCTTACAGTCAGGTTCCTGTCAGGCAGGCACCACCACCATTCCTAGTTTATTGGTTGGTTTATTATTACTGTTTCTATTAGGGGAAAATCTGTATTTTTGTCTCATAATTTAGTAATAAAGGTCACCCTTGTATTAAATCTCACAATTTTTATACAAGTCTACACCCATTATTTCAGTTGATCCTTAAATTATACTGAGTGTAATAACTTGCCCCAAGTCACAAAGGCAATGTGCGGCAGAGCTGGGATGGCAATAGCACCACGTGACTGGTCTAATCAAAGATGGTGCTGGTCACCCCTTTCATTTTAAGGGCTTTAATTCTGAGGGGAGACCAAAAAATGTCTGGCGCTGTCAGTGTAAAGCAAACACCCTAAACAAATAAATGAAAAAGATCACTTTAAGCAAGTGAGGTCTGGACAAGTCTGAACTCTGAGAGGCCACAGGTGGGAGCACGAAGAGCGGACCCAAGGATACCTTTAGTTTCCAGCACACAGTAACTCTGCAGTAGTGGACAAAGTCCAGCACGGCCACTGCCCCTATGCCCAGGCTCAACAGCACACTGAGGTCATCTACCAGCAACACCGGACACCTCCACGTGGGGTCCCCACTGTCCACAGGCTTCAGGGCCTCCTTCACAAACTCATACAACGGCTGCAGATCCTCAGCGCTGGCCTTCCTGGAGACACAGGGCAAAAGTTACCAGAGAGTTCACTCTCTCTACATTTATCTGGGACCGAGTAGCACCATAGGAAACAGCAGGAGAGGGGATGGGAGGACAAAGAGCTGCCTCACAGCCCTTGGCACCAAGGCGTTTAGAATCTGGTTTAAAGAAAAGGCATGCATGTGTGCATGAATAAGCTTTACTCCAAAACAAGTATTTACTAAGCCCTATTAGGGATAAATTACTGCGCTAGCAAGGGGAGGCACAAAACTTAACAGTTCCTGGAACCCTTAAAGGGAAGCACAGAGCCTCTTAACGCAGAACCAAAGGCACCTAGATGAATTTGGATTAGGCAGGCAGAATCCTCCCCATTCTTGAGTATAAAAAAGTCAAACAGCAATGCACATGGAGTTGTCTATAGACTGCTGTACACGTATCAGATTCAATCTGTTTCTGACATAAGCTGGCCTAGCTACCTCCACCTTCTCCAATGACTACCCCCCAAATCATTTCCAAGAAATGAGTGGAGGCTCAAAAAGCACAGGGCCCAGGACAACTCCCCCTATTGCCATATGGTCACTGTCTCAACTACAAAAGCAGCCAGAGAGAATATATAAAGAAAATGTGGCTGTGTTTCAATAAAACTTTATTTATAAAGATAAGTGGCTGGCCCATGAGCCACAGTTTGCTAATCTCTGTATCAAACCCAGAATAAAGCAAATGTGCTATTAGTGCTCTACAGCCAGGACTGGAAGAAAACAGCAAAATTTACTATTCTATTCTGCTCCTGGAGCTCTGATAGCATACTGCCTAAGGCACTTGACTGCTAACCAGAAGGTTAGGGGTTCAAACCCACCAGCCACTCCTTGGAAGGAAGGTTGGGCAATCTACTTCCGTAGTGTTACTACCTCAGAAACCCAAGGAGGGGTCGCCACGAGTCAGGTCTAACTCGATGGCACATAACAACAAACAAGAACAACTCTTCTCCTAGCACATAACACTTTCTATAGCTTTTTCAAGGAGCCCTGGTAGCATAACGGTTAAGTGTTCAGTTGCTAACCAAAAGGTCAGCAGTTTGAACCCACCCAACCACTCTGTAGGAGATAAGACCTGGTGATCTTCTTCTGTAAAGATTACAACTAGGAAACTCTAGGTGGCAGTTCGATTCTGTCACGTGGTATCACTATGACTCAGGATCAACTCGATGGTATGCAACAACAACATAGCTTTTGGACAGTAGTATACCCTCTGGCCTGTGATAAGAGTCAAGGGCTTTCTGACTGACAGTACTGCAACACTGGATGTATCTGACTTAAGAAGTCAGTTCTTCACTCCCCACCACAAGAAGGAATCACATAGCAAAGCAACCGCTGTCTGCTCCCACCCACCAGGTGTGCACCTCTGGGCTGGGTTCCAGGCTGACCGACCTGAGAAACTGCAGGGGGTGTGGCTCCTCGTGGGATCGGAAGAAGACATCCGCTGAGGACTTGAGACCTTCAAGGAACACAAGTTGCCCACGCTCCCGTGCAGTGGTCAGGCTGACACCCTAAACACAACAAAGAAGAGAATGAGTTACTGAGCCCTATGGGGAGCCCATCAGAGGCTAGACTCTAGCTCGTAAGATGGCATAGAACACATCCAAACCCCATAAATGTGCACCTATCCACTCTAAGCACAGGGCCCATGGCTTTCTTCCCATGGGTATTCCCAACCCACAACCCTGTTTCATATTCAGATGTCCATTTACATTTAATTGTCACACTTCAAAAAAAACAACTTACATTCTTTTGTTTATATAGTGGTTTTTATGATTACCCAATAATGGTTTTTCATTTATATTAGTCATACAAAGTTTTCTTTTTAATTGCATATATTTCTAAAACTAAGCACATATGAAAACCAGTATTAACAATAAGAGAGTGGGAGAATGACCAAAGTCTGGAAAATGCTGATGCAGGACAAAGGGCTGGACTTTTGGCTCTAAAGTTCCCAAATTCTCAGGACTTGTTTCTTATCAGTGATAAGGGACGTCAGGTTGTTCTGAAGTTTTAAATAATGTAACCCACAGAATGCCTGGCACACAGTAAGAAAGCATCACGGGTTAGGGTCTCCCTCTCTTCTCTTTCCCTTAAACTGAAGAAGTACTCCCAGAGTTAGGGGCAATATGAGTTCAGGGGTTGGCAAACTTTTCCTAAAAAGGGCCAGACAGTAAATATTTCAGGGTTTGCAGGCTATACAGTCTCTGTTGCAACTACTCAACTCTGCCATTGCAGTGAGAAAGGAGTCATAGACAATTAGAAACAAACGGGTATGGTTGTGCATCAACAACTTTATTTACAAAAACAGGGACACAGGCTGTAGTTTGCTAACTCCTGCTCTACCAGGGCTTCTCAGATAATGGTTCTTCCTGAATCTCTCAAGTACGAATCCCTTGAGACACATGAGTTAAGTACAGATCCCTGCATCCCACTCCAGATCTAAAACACCAGATTCTTTGGGGGTCAGATTCCAGAAATCTTCATTTCAACAATCAGAGACTGGGAAGTATTCTAAATTTACAACTCACTGCTCTATCTGTGGAGAAACACATGACATGCCAACTTTTCAAACTCTCCATATCCCTGAACCAGATCTCAACTGCTCATTCACACACCAAATATCCAGTGTCCTCTACAATCCAATACCATTCACTTGGCCTCTGACAGAGAGAAAGACTCCTGATCCTCACCTCTGCTCTTATGTATTACCATTCTACTTCTGATAATGCTCCAAGAGAACAGAAGCTCACATTCTAGTACTTCACATGCCAAGTCCTGCACATGTCATTTTTGCCATGTTGATGATGATTCACAGGTAATAATAATAATAATAATAATAATAATGATAATAAAAGTGGCCCACAGAAAGCACATAGCTTTCTCTTCCAAAAACACACAGATGCTAGGGTCACAGAGATAGGTTTCAGAGACCTAGAATATAACATCTTCTCTTGACATGAGCACTCTCCCTGAACTCATGCCCAGATTATGAGTTTCTCTGCAAAGGATAAGAAAGAAAGAATCTATCCTCTCATCTTTCATTTGTTTCTCGCCATCAGAGAAGAGGAAGTAATTTGGCCCAATGAGAAGATGAAGATTTTAAAATTACTGCTGATGAGTGGCCTGGTTCTCTTCCTCTCTGAAGCTGTCCTGTCCATTGAAAAACAGGCCATCTCCCTTTAGCTCTCATTCTCAGGCAGTAAATCCACATAGTCACAGGTCATGAGTAATGGCCTACGTTAGGTAATGACCAATCTCTTGGTCATCTTATTCTTGTCTGCCTGCATTTGATGAGGGAAGAAACAGGCCAAGATACTCTGCTGTTAGGTGACAAAAGTACCTCTACCCACATTTAGGTCCCGAGCCCTAAACATGGAGAGAACTGATGAGCAGCCAATTTGGTGGAAAATCAAGCCATGATCTCCAATCCAGAAGAACCAAGATAAAAGCCCACTCTCATTGCAACGGCTCCTAGGTTTTCTCTTTATCTGGTCCAGAACCAATAGAGAAGGGTTTGATTAATTATCACCCACAAACAATACATTTGGTTCTATAAATTCTAAAATAATAAAACATGAAGAGAAGCTGCTTTAGACCTTCAAATAAAGGGTATAGAAACCCAGAATTTCCTAAGCTTCTCCTTTGCTAAGTTCTCTATAATCCGAACAGGCAAGCCCAGCTGTAGGCCATGCTCACATATGTAGGGCACACACACTCACCCACCTCAGGAGGCTAATGTACTCACCAGCTTCTGTCCCACGATATTGTAGTGACTGAAGGACTGGATGAGGGCCACAAAGCACACTTTACAATTAGCTAGAAAACAAAATAAATTGACTTGATAAAGCCTCTGCTTACAATGAATCTCATATACTTCATACCTCTGGAAACCGAAGCACTCAGGCAGGTCTAGAGACCCAGAGGTCTTCCAATCCGATATATCCTACCTGATTCTATGATATCCTTTTTTTTTTTAAGTTATACCATATTTCATTGACTCTGAGATGTACTTCTTCAGCTAGATGTACTACTGTTGTTGTTGTTGTTAGCTGCCAGTCAGGTGGCCTGTGACCCATGGTGACCTCACGCACAACATTAACAACATCCTACGCCATCTCCACGATGGGCTGCGGGTCAGACCATTGTGATCCACAGCTTTTAAATGGCTGGTTTCCTGAAGTATACTGCCAGGTCTCAAATGTACTACTGTTGTTGTTGTTGTCCTGTGCTGTCGAGTCAGCCCCGACTCATAGCGACCCCTCCTTGGGTTTCCAAGGCAGTATCAGTATGGAAGTAGATTGCCCAACCTTCCTTCCAAGGAGTGACTGGAGGGTTTGAACAACCAGCCTTCTGGTTAGCAGTCAAGTGCCTTAGGCACTATGTTACCAGAGCTCCCAGATGTACTACTACTAGACACCTTAAACGTTTTATTCTACTGTAAATAAATGGTGTCTTTGTCTTAATTATCTTTTCTAATTGTGTGCTGTTGGTATACAGGAATACAAGTGACTTTTTAAATTGTTCTTACACCTAGGAGAATAAAAGGGAAACACAAAGAAGCTCCAGCTGCCTTATTGAACTTAATTCTAATAACTTATCAGTAGATTTGCTTCATCTTTCTATGTCGACAATTATATCATCTAAAAAAGAAGATCACTTTCAAAGCTGTAAATTATTACAACTCAATGTGCCAAAGGTATGCTTTGTATCCTGGCCTGGCACAGTGTGTGCTCAAGGAGAATCAACTAATAAATGAGCTTATTCTTTTTTCCCCATAATAAAAACTATCTTTATTGAAAATATACACAATGATACCAGTGAATTAAGAAATATCATGTTACAATCTTTTTAATTTTTTTTTGTTGAAAATATACACAGCAAAACATACACTAATTCAACAGTTTCTACATGTACCATTTAGTAACACTGATTACATTCTTCAAGTTGTATACCCATTCTCACCTTTTTACAGAGTTGTTCCTCCCTCATTAACACAAACTCATTGCCCCCTAAGTTTCCTATCTAATCTTTCCAGTTGCTATTGTCAATCTGATAACATATAGGTAGTTCTTAGAAGAGCATGATGCTCATGGGAGACATTCTTCACTCATTAAGCTAAACCATTATTGGGTTTAAAGAAGTCTTCAGGGAACATTTTTGGTTTAAAGTTTAAAGACTGTTGTTGTTGTTGTTGTTAAGTGCCTTCCAGGTGATCCCGACTTAGAGTGGTTCCACAGGACAGAGTGGAACTGCCCCATAGGGTTTCCTAGGCTCTAATCTTTACAGAAGCACATCACCAGGTCATTCCCCTGCAGAGCTGCTAGGTGGGTTTGAAGCGCCAATCTTTTGGATAGCAACCAAGCACTTAACCATTTCGCCATCAGGGCTCCATTTAAAGATTACATGAGCTTATTTTTTCATCTGGCTGTTCTCATATTCTAATTTATTTCCATTTGTAAATTGTGACGGTCATATTGTTTTCTTTCCCGTGTTCTTTAAAAAGCATCCACTGCAGGCCAAGTCATCAATGCAGCAGAAATCTCAGGATACAGAAGGATGGAGCAGGAAAACCAGTGAGTCTGTGCCAGCACAGTGGGTAGAGAACGGGGAGGCAGGATGTGGACACAGTGACATAGTGAATACATCATCTTTTGGTATGGTTGGGGGAAAGACCAAAATGGTCCAGCAATCTATTGCCTAATGAAAGAGCCCTCTGGCAACCCAAATACCAAAGCCCTGGCTAGCAAATGCTCTTCCCTTTGCTTCCTGAAGCTTTTTTTATGCCCACCCTCCTCCACCCACCAGGTTTCTCTTTCCACAGCATCGATGAGACCCATACCTTTGAGGTAGAAGGAAAGAAAGTGGTGCACAAGGAAACTGCCATCTGTCTTGGCATCACAGAGTAGAGTCAGTTTCCCCTAAAAGTTAAGAGGAACACAAAAAGGTAAATTAGACTCTACGGGAAGAGGGAAGCTGAGCATAGAAATCTAGTCCACCCCTAAGGAGCTCTGGTGGTGTAGGGCCTAAGTCATTTGACTGCTAACCAGAAGGCTGGTGGTCCAAACCCACCAGCCACTCTGCGGAAGGAAGACTGAGCAATCTACTTCCGTAAATATTTACCACCTCAGAAACCCAAATGTGGTCACAGATCCAACTCAATAGCAGTGAGTTTGGTTTTGAGTTTATGTTCACCCTAAGTTTGTACACCTGGAGATTATATTTTTAAATGATATCTATGCTAAGTTTAAGGAGCTATGGTGATTCAGTGGTTAAGCACTCAGCTGCTAACCAAGAAGGACGGCAGTTCAATCGCACCAGCCACTCCATGGGAGAAAGATGTGGCAGTCTGCTTCTGTCAAGATTCCAAAACCAAAAACCAAACTCACTGCCACTGAGTCGGTTCTAACTCACAGAAACCCCCTTTGGGTTTCTGAGGTGGTATATCTTTACAGAAGTAGATTGCCCAATATTCCTTCCATGGAGTGGCTGGTGGGTTCGAACCACCAACGTTCTGATTAGCAGTCAAATACCTTAGGTTATACACCACCAGAGCTCCTTTCTGTAAAGATTATAGCCTTCGAAATCTAGGGGGCAGTTCTACTCTGTCCTATAGAGTCACTAAGAGTTGGAATCTACGCAATGGCAACAGGTATGCTGAATTTACCTAGAAAAGAAGAAAATAAGTCAAAATTATGGAAAAACCAATGACTTAAAAGTGACCGCTACTAAGGCATTTATAATGGGCAAGCATATCTCAGCCTCTACTTTTCCAGGGGAAAACAGAATAAAATGCCTTCTCCTCCTCACTTGTCACCTTAGTAACTAACTCAGGGACCAGACTTGAGAAAAATCAGATCCTGAAAAAGGATGATTTTACCATCAGGCTCCAATGAAAACCACATACTTCCAGGATGGGAAGAGACCATTAAAAAGGTCTTCTGAGTCAACTTCCTATTTCTAATTTTGACTCCAACTCTATCCTACCAGATAGGAAAAAGGAGAGGAAGAAGTGGCTGTTGACAGAGATCTCCAGCAACAAGGTTCTCCTCCCAATGGCTCTAGACACTGCTTCAGGGACAGAGCTCTCTCATCTCTGAGAGCCCTAGGAAAAACTCTGCCAGGCCTGGCTGCCTGCTCCAGCCACCTCTAGTTCCCCACCAGTCAACTGCATAGAAAGGCAGGATCAGGAGGTATCAGATATGTCACCTCTGTACTGTGCGACCTTAGTGCTTTAATTTTTCTGGGCTTCGGCTTTTTTTACATATAAAATATAAAAGATCGTTATATCTTGAGGATCATCCTCAGCACCGTCATTTACTGGTGTAAGCCTTTTGCCTACTTCAATCCTCCATTCCCTAACACTGGCTGAGGACTTTGGAGGTGTCAGGAGTAACTGGCAAGGTGATAAAGCCATCTGGAGCCTTGGATACAAAGCAACTGCTGTGCAACTAAAAGCCATAAATCTACTTGAAGCTACGATTCACCAAATACTTAAGGTCATTAAAAGGGTTAACACACATGACAATACGGCTGCATGGAGGAGTTTAACAGTTCATTAAGAAAACAAGGTTATGAAATAAACCAGATGGTTTGCAAGAAATAATCCCTAAAACGTTAAAGATTTCGAGGATAGTCTTTTATGTGAACAAACAGCAACGGGGAAGCATATGAAAATGAAGAAGCGAGCTGCTCAAGAGTGTGGGAAGGAGGGTGGAGGGGAAACAAGACTGTGACACCAAATCGGGGCTTCTGCAACTAGCTTCGCGCAACACTATTACAAGACCAAGAGGCGGCACGCGAGGCGAACCTGCGATCTGCTGCGCGCTCCGGGCCGAGAGGAATAGTAAGAAACTGCTCCAAGCCGGAGGGTAGGGTATTTCCTCGTGGGCGGGGTCACCCCCCCACCCCCACCCCCTTTCTCTGCCCAGCGAGCGCGCACAGAGCTTTTTGGTACATGTCGTCGGGCATTCGGACAGACTTCCTGAGGTCTTTAAACACAGGCTTTGAGAACACAGGTCAAGAAGCCCACCTTCCGTAAACCAAAGTCGGCTGACCAAGCCCCGAAACAGCCCTCTCCAGACTACAACTCCCATGCATCCCCTTACCAACAGAGGTCGCGCCTTTTCTACGGTTACGTATGCACCACATCCGGGGATGCAGCCTTACGCCTTGCTCCCCAGACTCGGCCCCTTCTCGACCGCGCGACGTCCTACCTGCTCCGCCCTATCTGGGGTCGTGTTTAAAAGGTTATTGAGCTCTGGGAACATTCTGAACTCCGAGGGCAAGCACCCTGGGCAAGGAGCTCAGAGTGGGAGAAGACGACAGAGACTGGAGAGCGGTACACACCCGCCTACCCTCAGTACCTTGCGGAAGGAATGCGCACGCGCAACTCCACTTCCGGGCTCCTGAGTTGGCCGATTAGTTAGGGAGCTTGGGATGGACCGCTGCTGGCGCACGCGTGATGACATTAACGGTGTAACATTGGTCGTGCGGATGGCTGCGAAAGGCAGCAACAATCCCGGCTTCCTCTCTGGGCACTCGCAGTGTACCTGATCCCTACCATTTACCCCCATGGCTCTGCCCATCCTGGTACTCACTCCTTCCTTTGCTCTTTGTCTGTATTCCGAGGCCTCAGACCTCGTGGCAGTGCAGTTCCTCCAGTCATGCCTCTCTAGTCCCTGTTGTGTTTTAGGCTGCGAGCAAGGCGTTTGGGACAAACTGGTGAGCACAAAGGAGTGAAGATCTTGCCCTCGCGAAAAGCAATAATGATAAACACGAAAGTATACATTTAGTAGTGATATGAAAAAAAAGCAGACGAAGGAGTAACCATAGGGAGGGGAGGTTTCCAATTAAAGAGGTTGGTAAGGGAGGGCTCACTAAGAAAGTGTGATTGGAATACATTTAGCACTCCTTTCTTCAGAGCCTTTGCACTGGCTGGTCCCTCTTCCTGAAATGATCTCCCAGATCCTAGCCAATTGAATCCCGTCATCCGTCAGATGTTTGCTTGCATGTAACTTTTTAATGAAGCTTGTCCGAGGCCTATTTCATAGCAAACTGCCACTTCCCCAGCATCTTCTAGCCTTTTCCCTTGCTTTTATTATTCCTAAGCATGATTGGTGCAAATGGTTAACTGTTGGCTGCTAACAGAAAGGTTGGAGGTTCAAGTATATCCAGAGGCACCTCATAAGAAAGGTCTGGTGATTTACTTTTGTTGTGCTCAGGCTGTAAAGGAGAATTTCGGAAGAGAAGAAGATGCTAACCCACGCTAATGCAAATGCAATAGGACAGTTTATTAGCTAACTTAAGTTAG